TTTTCAAATTCTATTTTTGTTGTCTTGGAATTTCTTGAGTGTCTCCTGTACATTTTGGTTGACCCTATCCAGTATCATCTCTATAAAATTTCTCATTGAGTACCTGTAGTATGTCTTCTTTTAAATTATTCTTGTGGGCTTCATTGGGTCCTTTGGCATAGTTTATCTTCATTTTGTTGGAGTCTGAATCTGAGTACCTGTTTTCTTCATTCCCCTCTGGTTCCTGTACTAATTTTTTGCTGTGGGGAAACTGGTTTCCCTGTTTTTTCTGTCTTCCTGTCATTGTCTTTGGTGTTGTTACTGTCCCTGTACTGTGTGCAATTAAGTATTTTCTAGCTTGTAATAATAACAATGGTAATATTTAGAATGGAAGGGTGAGCTGAGATGGAAAGCAATAAATTAAAGAAATGGGAAAGACAAATACACAGACTGGAAGGAGAAAACAGAACAAAGTATCAGACAAGAAGGTTTCAAAGGTATAAACAGGGAGCTTTAGTGTACTAATCGACAGTAAGCTGAACAGACATTAGAGAGACAGAGAGGATTGAAAATCAGAAATAAAAAAAAATAAAGATAAGAATAAAAATAAAAAATAAGTAAATGAAAGAAAAATCTGTATATAAAAATGTATTAAAATAAAATGAAAAAATAGAAAATTAAAAAAACCCAAAAAACCAAAAAAACCTTCAAGTTCAAATGCAATGAAGTTTCAGTCTTAATAATTTGGGTGTCCGTCTCAGTCTCCAATCCTGGAGATGGTGCCTCAGATGTTGTTCTGTAGTTGTCTCATCAAAGGGGACGCATAAAGTAGAACAAAACTACACACACACACACACACACACACACACACACACACACACACTAAAAAAAAAAACCCACCAAGTGTCCCAAGTTCAAATGCAATACAGTTTCAGTAAGTTTTTCAGCTTACAGGTGTAGTTCGGTTGTTCTCTCATCAAAAGTAGGGAGACAAAGAAAAAAAAAGAGTCTGGAGACAGTTCTGAGAATGGTATCTGCAGTTGTGGCTTGCCTGCCTGCTGCTGTCAGCTGCTGTTGCTGAGGTGTTTATTTATGCAGATCACTGGGGTGAGCTTAGCACTCACCTGGCCCTCAGCGTTGTTGTGCTCAGAGTTTTCCTGTGAGCCTCTGCTACAGGCTTTCCCCTTTCCAAGCACTGGGAAAGGTGACACTGCACCAGCGTTGTCAGGCCTGCGTGTTTATTTACAGTTCACGTGGGAGTTGGGTCTTCCCCCCTCTCCTGTGGAGTTTTCCTCCCACTGCCACTTTCACAAGCTTTCCTGCTCCTGCTTACTGGGTGGTGCTGCTGCTCCTGCCAGCTGCCATGTTTGTTTACAGTTCACGTGGGAAGTGGGTCTTCCCTCCTCTCCTGTGGAGTTTTCCTCCCTCTGCCACTCTCACCAGCTTTCCCGCTCCTGGTTGCTGGGCGCACGCACTGCCCCTGCTCCCGCCAGAGCCTGTCCTGCCCGCCGGCTTGTTTATTTACAGTCCCAGGAAGGGTTCCCTTACCCCAATCTTTGGTGCTCAGGGCGCCCCACCCTCCTCCCTGCGTATCTTTATTGCTCTTATTGTTTATTACTCAGTTTCTCTTTTTCCCTGGGTGGGGGTCGGTCTGTCCAGGGGGCTATGCTGCCTGGGCCCTGGCTTGTGTGTGGGGTACCGCGGTACCGCGAAGCTCATCTGGTCCGTCTTCCCAATCCTTCTGGGCACCGGTGACTGGCGGCCCCAGGGCCCTCCTGATTTCTCTGTTTAACGTGAAGTGGAGATTCTCTGCACCGGCTGGAGATGTGGAGGGGTCAAAGTTAGGCCTCTTCTCCGTGATTATGCCTGCAAAGTGTGTCTCCAGCATGTCTCCAAGATTTCACTATAGGAGGCTCGCTTTCTGCTTCCTTCCTCTAGCCGCCATCTTGGAATCCCCCTATAATACTTAAAGTAGGGCTGATACATCATGTTTATTTGCTAGACATATGAAGAAAATAATTTTTGTAGTCAGCTATGAAAATACTCCTGTAGGGTATTGGAGGGGAGGCATAAAAAGGTACTCTTCCTCTCCCAGCAATGTGATTTCTTAAGTAGCAATTATAAAGGATCCTTAAATTACATTTCTTTGGTGATGTTTCTATAACGTCCTCACCATGGCTTCCTCTCTTAAAGGCTTTCTTGGCACCAACTTTGATTGTTTGGAGAAGAGGTGTTGCATTGTTCTGATAAATACATTGTTCTCTTTTTAAAAATTGCAACAAAGTCTGTTGGCATGCTCTGCACTCAGGAGGTGAAGCGCAGGGGTTTTTGAGTTTGAGGCCAGCTTGGGATAAATAGTGAGACCTTGTGTCAACGCGTGGTCCCCCCATCCCCTCCCCTGCAAAAAAAGGAATAAAAAATTAAAAACTGCAACACATGTTGAAAGAGTGCTCAGAAGGGTGTAATGTCAAAAGTAGAAATTGTGCTCTTTTCCACCCCAGTTCTCCAGTACCCTTTTCTAGGGATAAGCAGAGTTGAGCATCTTGAGACATTCCACTTTTCATTTAACCTGCATGTTTCATTTCCAGGTCTTCTAACTTTTTTTTTCACCAGTGAGAGTTTCCTTAGAGTTCTTTGAAGTATTATGTTGAGGGCAATGCTGGGTAAGAAAGCAAACTTCTGCCTAGTATTACGAAATTAGTTTGGTGGGAGCAGGGTAGGCATTTTATGCAGGAGGGTGTGGTGACAGATATCAACTTGGGTGACAGCTCAAATTTGATTATATGTCAAGGTCAGTCATTTGGAGATCATTGTCTTAGGCCCAAATCTTGAATTGTTTAGGTGAGGAAAATGTATAATTTATCAATTTATCATATAATATCTACATAGATAGGTCTGTGTTCATTAATACTAACTTATTAATACAGCCCATATACATGCTTACTAGAGTTTATTCATTGAAAGGCAGAGACTGTACTTTCAGGTCCATGAACATAGTATTCCTTCCTTCCTTCCATCCTTTTTCCTTCCTTCCCTCCCTTCCTTCCTTCTTTCTTTCTTCTTTTTCTTTTTGGCCGTACTGGGGTTTGAACTCAGGGCCTTGTACTTACAGTGGTCTACCACTTCAGCCATGCCTCCAGCCCTTTTTGTTTTAGTTTATTTCTCAAATAGGGTCTCTTGCTTTTTGCTCAGAGGCTGGCCTCAGACCATGATCCTTCTACTTCCACCTTCCACCTAACTGGGATTACAGATGTGAACCACTATGCACAGTCCCCCTCGTTAATGTTTCATAATGATAAAGAGATAATTAATGGTAATGGTGTTAACAGTAGACCTTCATGTGTGGCCACTTATGCCATTATTACTACTTATTACCATAACATTAACATATAGACACATAACCTCTTGGAGGCAGAAGTAACTGTGATCAGAACCATTGTAAATACCTTTGTCTAACTTTATAATGGAGAATGTTGTAGATATTTAAAATCATAAATAATCTGTTAAAAATATCTAAATTAGTCATTTTGGCAGATGGGTTAATATTTTCGTTTTTACAAATGAGACAGATGAGATTAATCTGCAGGTTACTTTTCTGTGAGTGAGCAGACTCAAGATATAAAATTAGTCAGGTTCTTTGTATTTTCTTAATGGTAGAATCTAAAGTTTTTGTAATACGGTTTTGGGGGGCAGTTTCTGATTTTTCTGTTATATTGCGGTTGTCTTTTTATTTCTGTGTTGATACTCTTATTGAGGTTCTTTGGTTTCAAGGAACTTAAGTAAAAAAATGAAAATATTTATTGAAAATATATAGAGGCATCCATGAACCAAATCATGGTCAGGTCTTTTAGTAACTAGGAACCCCCGTTTCTCCCTTAGTCTCTTAGTAGCTGTATGACATATGCTGTATCTCTTTCACTCTGGGTATTGGCCTTCTTTCTTTTTTTTGGGGGGGGGGGAGGTTCTTCCTCTGGCTCTGAGCTACCATGGCCCAGGCTTAATATGACTTTCCAGTTCCACATCTCACCACTGGTTGACCATGCAGTGTGTTTGAATTATGGTCCAAGGATTACCTGACAAGACTGTTAAAAATGTGGTGCCCTGGTCCTTATACTTATACTTAATCAGAACCAATCTCTCTCTCTCTCTCTTTCTCTCTCTCTCTCAAGTATGGGGGTTGAACTCAGGGCCTTATGCTCTCTAGGCAGGTGACTTCTTGAGCCATTGTACCAGCCCTTTTTTTGTGATGAGTGTTTTCAAGATAGGGTCTCAAGAACTGTTTGCCCAGGACCGGATTCGAACTGCAATCCTCCTGATCTCATTTCTGCTCCATTGTAGAAATAAGAACAACAACTCCATTGAATACTATGAAGGCATTACAGGTGTGAACGACTGGTGCCTGGCCAGAATCTCTTTTGATGGTGTGTTTAATAGTCTGTATTTAAGAATAAGACTCCAGGTGACTCTTATTCATGCTGTACCATGAGAACCATCAGAATCTAATTGAGTGCCATTCCTGACTGCAGGTACTTAGATAACCACTCATTCAATCAGTTTATGACCAGGATTGGAGATTGTGCAACACTAACATAAGGCAATACAGATAGTAGTTTAAGAGTGAGTGCTATAAGTCACAGTGCTGGGTTTGTGCTCTGACTTCATCAAAGTAACTTGAGAACCTTTGTGCATCAGTTTTGGTTTTTGGATAATACTGGTATTTACCTCACAGGGTTGTTGTGAGGATTAAATAAGAAAAGTGCTTGCAACAGTACCTGGCAAAATTGGTACTCAAAAGATAGGACTACTACTACTATTATTACTACTGCCACCATAGCTCTCTAGGCACACCTACTTCCAGATGGACCTAGTGTTTTTAGGGGTGATAGGCTGAGAGTGCAGGTAACTTCAGCTAACTGCAGATTGAGAGCTCAGCTAACCAAATGATTGAATTTGGTTGAGCTAGACTGACTCACATTTATATTTAATGTCTTAATGAAGATAAAACAATATGAATTTAAACTCTTCTTATTTAAGAACTAAATAAATAAACAAACCACTCCTTTCAAAACAAGTTAATAATCATTAGGAATTCATCATCTCATTAGCACTTATCATTAGCAGTTAAGTCATCTTAATGTGACTATAATGTATTACGGCTGTTTTTTTCTCTGTAGGGGTAAAGGAGATTCCCCAGAAGCTCGAGCATTGGCCAAACAGGTGGCTACGGCTCTGCAGAACCTGCAGACCAAAACCAACAGGGCTGTGGCCAACAGCAGACCTGCCAAGGCAGCTGTCCACCTTGAGGGCAAGATTGAGCAAGCTCAGCGGTGGATTGATAATCCCACAGTGGATGACCGGGGAGTTGGTAAGGGCATCAGTGCATTTAACCCTCATTAGAATGGTGACAGTGCAAATAAACAGATTGTTACCAGGTAGCCTGTAACATCTGTAAAAAGGTGCTGAAAGGGTTCTTCAGCTACTGGTAAGTTGCTTTTCAGTGTGATCTTTAAGTATAACCAATAAAATCCCTGTGGTTTTACCAAGCAATATTGAAGAATAAATGATTTTGTTGTGCACAGAAAGATCATCATTGCAGAATTAAAACTTTGAACTAATTATTGCCAGTCCTATGTATACTTCCATTTTACAGTATTTCTGTTTTTATAGTCCTTGCCAAGTACCCAGTTGAAAACAATTTTTTAAAATTACAGTAAGAAATAACTAACTACCCAGGTTGTTTTAGCTGCGAGGACTCCTGAATTACAGTCAACCTGAAGAATTTATAACCTGAAATTTTGTTTTTTGGAAGACTTTAGGATTGCCTGGAAAGCCTGCTGGAGCTTGAAAGATCTGTTTATCCCATTTGCTGTTATTTGTTGGATAAAAAGATAAAATTTTCAATTGGTGATGTCCAGTGTCAGTGAGGGTCTAGAGAACTGGCAGTTGTGTAATTTACTGATGTAAAGTAAATTGATGCAAACTTTGTGAATGTGGTGTTTTGAATTGACCTCAGAATTTTTTCTAAGAAACAATTTGTTTGTAAGGAAGCAATATAAGAATATATATAAACAGTGTAAATGTTCATTAATAGTTATTAATAGTTATGGTTATGGTCAATATGAGAAAATACATACAGAGTTTAGTTTTTTGTTTTTCAGAACTGGGTTTGAACTCAGGGCCTTATGCTTGCTAGGCAGGTACTTTTCCACTTGAGCTATGCTCTATTCCCTTTTTGCTATAGTGAAAAAATGCTCATGGTAAAGAAAAAGAACCAAGGAATAAAAAAATGGGCTGGGGATGTAGCTCCATGTTACAGCACATGCTTAGTATACATGAGGTTCTGAGTTCAATCCCCAGCACCAAAATAAAAAATACAAAATAATAAAAAGTTAACATACAGTTTATTCTTATTTATGCTTTTCTGTATTTTCCTGTATTTCCAAAGTGTTTTCTTTTGCCAGAGAGCACTGTTCCTTATTGTTATTCTAAAAAGAAGCCTCTCTAGAATGGCTTGCAGTTGCGTTGCTTTCTCTGGGTCTATGTGAATTTTAGTGTATTCCTCTTGGTCCAGGTCAAGCTGCCATCCGGGGGCTTGTAGCTGAAGGGCATCGTCTGGCTAATGTTATGATGGGACCTTATCGCCAAGATCTTCTTGCCAAGTGTGACCGTGTGGACCAGCTGACAGCTCAGTTGGCTGACCTGGCTGCCCGAGGGGAAGGGGAAAGTCCTCAGGCGAGAGCACTTGCATCACAACTTCAAGACTCCTTAAAGGTAGAACTCAGGAACACAAATCATTCAATTGTCTATGCTTATCATTATTGAAAAACAGATGGAAAAGAGAACTACAAAAATATATAACTTCTTGGGTTTTGGAGAAATAAAAAGTGTGTGATCAAGAATATTAAGGAAATTAGAGATTATTAGGAAAAAACTGAAGTGTGTGGTAGCAACTAACATTGTTTTTTCCAAATTTCGTTCAGTTAAGAGATTTTCATTATGTTTGCTCTATCCTTACATCCCTTGTACTGGTATGTAGTCAATATTTTTATTAAAATGACTGCCTTTTTAAAACTTAAGTTTATTTAAAAGAGCATGGCTTAACTGGTAGTGTGCCTGCCTAGTAAGTATGAAGCCCTGAGTCCAAACTCCAGTCCCAACCCCCCCAAAAAAAATTAAAAAGAAAACTTAAGATAAGTTTATTTAGGATAAATAATTGTGAAATCATAGATTTGATAAGCTAGTTGTATTTTTACTAATATTTAAAAAAGAAGCAATTATTAAAATACAATTATTTGTCTAACACCTAAAATCATCTCAGGTTTCCCCAGCCAGTGAGAAACAGTGGGGTGATGGAGATTTAGTTTGTATAAATTCAGAAAACTTAAATTGGACTAAATGAAATTACTATGAAAAAGAGCTTGTGACTTCTAAGAATCTTCTTTTTTAGATCCATGTTAAGAAATCAACACATATATTGGTTATTATGTTTTTCTAGAAACTTAATTTTTATTCTTGGTTTTTTTCCCTCTTTTTTTGGTGGTATTAGGGTTTGAACTCAGGGCTTTGTGTTTGCTAAGCAGGTGCTCTACCAATTTAGCCAAATCTCAGATCAAGTGTTCTTCCTCTTAAGCTAAGTTAATTGTTCAGAAATTTGACACTGCATCTGCCAGTTACTTTGGTTATCACCATGTCCCTCCTGCACTAGGAATGATGAGGAACTCTACCTCATTTGGGAGCTTTCTTTGGGCTCAATCCCATGATTCTTAGCGTCATTTCATAGAGATTGCCAAGAAAGGAAGTAAAATTCCTTGAATGGGGAACAGTTTCTAGGGATATGGGGAGGTAGGCAGTCATACCTACCCCTTCTCTTAGAGGATTCCTACACTCATGCTACCTTAGTGTTTTGTACACAACTGACATTCAGTAAATATTTATTGAATGAAAGAATCAAGAGAAGTAAGAACATTAGCAGATGTGCTTTTGGGATATTGCTGGAAATTTTCATTTGCTAACAATATTTTTAAGGATCTGAAAGCCCAGATGCAGGAGGCTATGACTCAGGAGGTATCAGATGTTTTCAGCGACACCACAACTCCCATCAAACTATTGGCAGTGGCGGCCACTGCCCCTCCTGATACACCTAACAGGGAAGAGGTGAGTACCTGAGATCTTCCAGTTCTTGTGTTGGCCGGCCATATTTATATTTGTAAATGTAAAATGTGGTTATACAACAACAGCAATGGTTGGAAAATTGTGGATGAAAGGTGAAAGAGTAGAAGGGGACCTTTTTAGTCTACTAAGTTATGAATGTCTTTAATTGCATACAATAGAAGATCTGACCATCAGAGATTAAAACAAATGGAATTTATTTTCATAACATATCAAGAAACATGGAAGTAGGAAGCTCTGGCATTGAGTCAGAGACTAAAAATCATGAAAACTGGCATCACTATGATTTTCTTAACCTTTTCCCTCATGGAACTATATGGTTTTTACTCCCCCAGGCCTCCTGTTCAAGGCAGGAAGACATGATTAATTGGGGTACTCCAGTCACAACTGTCTGTTTTGTTAGGGCACGTTATTCTCAACATGGAAGTCAGGATAATCTTTTTGATTCCTTCCTTTCCCATAATAAAACAATAATCCTTACAATGAGCAGTAAGACCCATGATGTGCTGGTAAACCAACTTTCCAGGAAAAAGTCCAAACCCCAATTTGTAATGTTGGTTGATTTCCATGATGTAAATAGTTCCATTGTGGCTGTTTTAATGGGAAGTCACTGAAAACAGAGTTGGGAAGAGATGGGTGTGTTTGACCCTTATAAGCTGGTTTATAGGTAAAGTGGCTTCAGCACTCCACTGAATATGGTCCCCTGTCTACTTCTCTGACGTCATGTTGGTACTACGTTCTTCCCCTTCTTACGCTTCTATTTACATTGACTTTCTTGAATTATACTGCTAGTGTTCCATATGTATGTTGCTATGTTATAATCTTAAGTTCTTGGAACCTGTCATTCTTCCCATAGACTATATATCATTCATTGACTTTCTTCAGCTTTCTATCAAATGTCACTTTTGTGTCACTACTTAAAATACCAATCTCACCCACAACCTGAGGGATTTTTTTCTTTCTTTTTGGTGGTACTGGGGTTTGAACTCAGGCTTCCCGCTTGCTATGCAGGCAGTCTATCACTTGAGCCACTCCACCAGCCCCCACTCAGTTATTGCTTTAGTCCAAGTTCCTAGAAAAATGCCTGGCATATTGTTGGTGATGAATGAATGAAAGTAAAGGCTTTTTCAGAAATTCCAGGTGACCTTTTCTTGTATCTCATTGTGTAGAACTCTGTCACATGGTTACCTCACTTGCAAAAGAATCTCGAAAAGCAAGTATTTGGTTTTCCATCCTTTTATTAGGAGCAAAGGAGGAGTTCAGTTCTGCCATCCAAGACACCATTGTGGGTGATGGTTTTTTATTTTGTTTGTCTGCTCACCCCCACTTTCTTTCCCTGGCCTAGGTTACTAGGCAGGTCAGTTCGTGGTCCCCTTAGGCCAGGATGATTTGCTACGTTTTCATTCCAGTGTTCTTGAGTTTCAGACTAGTATATCCAACCATCTTTTGGGCCTCTTCTCCTACATGCTTCATAGTTTCCTTAGCATATATTGACCTTTTCTTGTTCTCTGTGCATCTCTATGGACTTTTCTCTTCCCCTTTTCTTCTCACACCAATGGATAACTCAGATATGTTAATTTGACCTTGGACTTATTTCTTTAATTCTTTCCATTTTCCATCGATGTTGCCACCGCTCATCACCTGTATGCCTGCGTAACTTGGACTGCTCTTTGAATTTGTCAGAAAAAAAATTGCAGATCTGATCCTGTCGTTCTCCTGGTTTAAACCCTTTAGTGAGGCTTAGGCTAAAGCCAGAGCTTTGTGATCTGGGTTTTAATATTCTTTCTATATCAGTTTCCTACAAATTCCTGCCTTTCAGTTCATACTCTAGCAATTCTTTCTTGTTTGTTGCTGCTTGCATACTCTGCCCTTTCCATGTCTTTGTTCTTTCTGTCTCTCTACCTAATTGTCTTCCCCTTGTTCTTTTCCACCTGATTCTTCTTTATCCTATCTATCCTTTGCTTCCTGGATAGGTTAAGTGCCTTTCCTGCTGCTCCCATAATATTGTACACAGCAACATAGCATATTATAAATATCTACTTCTGCGCTCCTTTTCCCCTACTAGGCTGTAAACGCCTTAAGATACAGATATTTTGTCTTCATTTTGTACCTTCAGCAGCTACCTCAGGGTTGGGCACATAGTGGGTGGTCAGCAAATTTTGGTTGCGTGCCAGGAAAAGGAAGCTAATCATTTCAGTTAAGTGAGAGGAAGCAACAGTTATGGTCTCAGATTGAGATGCTAACCAAAGCAGGCAAAAGATCTGCAGATCCACAGTGTGGGAGGCAAGCTAAGGTAACAGACAGGAGAAGGGGCTAGGGAATCAGGATTTTAAGCAGAGGTTCTGAGCATTACTGGCAGGAATCCAGGAAGCTAAATGCAAACAAAAGGCCAGGATTGGGCAAGAGACCTAAGAGGAACACTGGCAATGAGATTGGAACTTGCTGTTGAATCAAGAAACCTTTAGACATTTTCTGCCTTGAGTCAGAACTGGACACCAACTATGGACGGCAGACTCCTAGGAGGAGGTTAAAAAAAAAAAAAGATGTATTCTGGCAGCCAGTTCTTGACATACTGTGTGTATAGCACAAACCTGACCCAGTGCTATTTGGAATACCTTGCTGTTTCAGGTGTCAATCTTAGTAATGGTATTCAACTACATTATAGAAGAGCTTTTGTCATTTTAAGTAAATTAAAGAAAGTTTCTTTCATGGTGTACAACCTTGCATAATATTCATGTCAAAGGAAAGGTTAAGGTTTTAAAATTTGAGAACTGAATAAACAAGTAGATAGTTTTGCATTTGGGATTAATACAAGTCACCTATCCTTGCCCTTGTGTTAAGCTTGAGTGTGAGCACAAGCTATCATTTTTCCTATGGATGTCAAGGGCAGAGTTTTTACAACATTAATGGTAACAGGATATATGAGGGAGGCTGGAGCTCAGTTTAGTAGTCTTTGTGGATATTCTGGGCTTGTAATGCACCCACCTACCTACGGTAGAGCCTGTAGTGGGTTTATGCATCTTCAAACTAAAAGTTAAACCTTTGGGGAATGGGGATTATTTAGTTTTCAGCTTCTGTGAACCCCTCATTGCAGAATATATGATGCTGTGTGTCCTACTTTTAGTTTGAACTAAAATTCAGAGATGTGTGTGTGTGTGTGTGTGTGTGTGTGTGTGTGTGTACATACATGACGCTTCTAGCTGAAGCTCTGAGGAGAGGCCAAGAGTTGGCATTTTATTATTGTTTTAGCTATAGGGTTTGATGTCCTCTCTGAAGTCTTTGAGCACTGGCCACATCAGCTTAAAGAAAGGCTTTTTCTTAGACTGCCTGACTCATTTTATTGAAACAAATTTTTTTGATGTCTTTGTTTTTTCAAGGTATTTGATGAGAGGGCAGCGAACTTTGAAAATCATTCAGGAAGACTTGGAGCCACAGCAGAGAAGGCAGCTGCTGTTGGTACTGCTAATAAATCAACAGTGGAAGGCATTCAGGCATCAGTGAAGACGGCTCGAGAACTCACACCCCAGGTTAAGTTTTGCTTGCTCTGCATTTTAACGCTGTCATACAGCATTCAGTAAAGTGAATTACAGAAACTTTGTAGACATTTTTGAGCACTTACTGTGAGATCACATTAACAAACACATACATATCCATAGTGTCAAACGTGGTGATTTCTGGGGTTAGGATTATATAGGACTTTTAACTTTGTACATTTTTGTATTGTTTGAATTTCTTTACGACTATATGTTAGTCTTCAAAGTAGAAAACTAGTTAAGTAGCTCTCCTTCCTAACATATCTACATATAATTAGGAAAATATTTGGATAATCGTGAGAGGTTAGTTTTTATTTTAGAGTTTATATTGATCCTCAACATGTCTTTGAGAGGATTTAAAAAAAAAAAAAAGCCTCAGCTGTTTCCATAGCTTGTTTTCTTTTTTCTACTTAATTGTATAACCAAGTTATATAATTAGTTATATAAGTAAAGTATAGTTCGTAAGTTTGGGAGCAAAAGAAGATTGGGAACAAAAGAAAATAAATTGAAAAGGAATTAAAGTTCTAACAGGTGATAGTTTTCTCTTCCTCCTCCTCCCCCTCTCCCTTTCATTCCTCCTCTTCTTACCCGCCCCCATTTAAAAAATTTTTTTTGAGACAGGGTCTTGCTTTGTAGCCTAGTCTAGCCTGCAACTCCCTTTGTAGCTCATATTGGCCTCGATCTCCCTGCCTCAGCCTCCTGAGTGCTGGTATTACAGTGTACCACCATTTCTGGCTAGGCTTTATAAGTCTGTGATTCTGGCTTTCATGAGAATTTCTGGGGGAGAGATGGGAAGTAAACCTGTCTCACTAATCGATCAACTTTTGCCTATGTAGCATATTAACAAATTCGATTTGGCTTCAAGTCAACAACAAAAACAAAACAGATTCTCCTTCCTGCCTTCCTCCCTCCTTCTTTTCCTTCCTCTTGCCCCCTGACCCCCGCCAGCAGTGAATTGCACATGCTAGGCAAACATTACCTCTGAGCTACACCTCTAGCCCAAAGCTGTCCAATCTTTTAAAAATTTTTCATAAAAAATGAATATGTCTAACAAAAAAAAAACCTTTCATAAAACATGGAACACAAAACACAGATTTCACAATAAAACTGAGATTAAGAAAAAAAAAAGAAAATAGAAAAAGAAAACTAGGCTTAAGACACCAATTTGGAAAGAATAAGAACATCTGAGATCTGGACTTGCATCCTCTGTGACTTTGAGGCTGACTAGTTTTCTCATCTTGTGAAGCTAATTCTTTTCTAATGGATGTTTTTGAGCATTAAGAATAGGCCTGTAGCTGGCTGCAGGTGGCTCATGCCTGTAATCGTAGCTACTCAGGAGGCAGAGATCAGGAGGATCTCGTTTCAAAGCCAGCCCTGGGCAGTTAGTTTGTAAGACTCCATCTCGAAAAAAAACCTATCACAAAAATAGGGCTGATATAGGTGTAGGCCCTGAGTTTAAGCCCCAGTACTGAGAAAAAAAAAAAAAAGATTCAGTGTACAGCCTGAATCTTAGTTAAGGTTATTTCCTTCTTCTTCTCCAAGTACTGTTAGTCATAGCTGGGACTTCTTGAGCAAGTCACTGAAATTTTTGAAGTCTTGTTTTTTGCATCTGCAAAGTGGAACTATTTTCTCTCTCTCACAGGGTTATAGTAAGGACTCAGTAAGATAATGTATGTGAAAGCACTTTGTAGGCAGATACTTTAATTAATATTATTCATGAATTGGGTTTGAATAATTTTTAGTTTATTTATTTGTTTGTTTATTTTTAATTTTTTTGGAAGACAGGGTCTTGCCATGTAGTCCATGCTAGCCTCGAACTTGAAATCTTCCACCTCCCAAGTGCTGGGATTTTAGGTATGCATCACCATACCTGGCTAATTAAGATGTAAGAATTGACATTAAAGTTTTAAATATATGTCAGTCTTGCTTGTTGTATGCTCTGAAATGCTAAATGAATAAACATTTACTTTGACACTTTATTACCTTCTTAAAATCAGGCAGTGGCTATAATACTTTTGTGTGAAGGGCCTACTCTGTCATCTTTTTACGAAACCAAAACCTGAAAACAGACTTGCCAATTTTGGCTTTATGGTGCCATCTGTAGGTAAAGAAGAGAAAAGCTTGGTTGCACATTTGTATTTAGATGTGTGAGTGCTCTGATATTTAAAGTCCTTTTTTTTTTTTTATCATGGTCAGGTCGTCTCGGCTGCTCGTATCTTACTTAGGAACCCTGGGAATCAAGCTGCTTATGAACATTTTGAGACCATGAAGAACCAGTGGATTGATAATGTTGAAAAAATGACAGGTAGAAATTTATGTAAAGTTCTTGTTGTCTAATCCATGAATTCTGAGAAACTCCAGCAGGACCGGTTATGTTACTCAGCTGCAATTGGATAAAGGGGTGGTCATGTGCCTGACAGTGTACTTGGCCCTGATTAAGGCTGCTGAACAGCGGCGGCTTCTCATTCAAGCTTTGCAACTTTGTCCAAAGAGAGACTGAGTCTCTTATTTTAATGCTGCCCTCTCAGTGTGGTGTTTATTGTTATGGCTCCTATCTTCTCTTTGAATAGTGTCTTTGCCCAGTCTGAGCTAGAGTTTGGTTTCAGAGGCTGGGAGGCAGTGTTTTTGGATACAGTAAATGTCCCTGTCATTTTTGGAGGGTTCACATTTCAAGGAACCACAATAGCTACCATTTAACACAACTTGTCTCAGAGTTTCCTCCAACTTATCAACTACGTAGTTCTAAAGAAAATAAAAGGAGAAACCAATCACCAACAAACCTGTGTCTGTGCAACTGAAGTAGCACCTCTGAATCTTCTCTGTTCTCTGTGGAGGGAGGGATGACAGAAAGGAAGGAATGAGGAATGTAGGTTCTTCACTGTCCCTGCCGACAGGGGTCTGTAGCAGCCAGAGATGAAAGTGGAGCTCCCGAAGTGTCTGAAGAGAGGTAACAGAAACAAGAAACAGGCTGTTAGGGTTATTGGAATCCTCTGTGTAGCTCATCTCGGAACATTGCAAGCTGCCAGCAACCAACAGATGGCTGGGGAGTGAGACGGGAAGGGAGAAGATGTTATTAACAGATAATGTGGTGGTGATGCAGTGAAGGTTTCAGACATAATCTTTGCTTCCTCCTGATGCTTTTGCATTTCTATTTGTCTGTGGTGGATATAAGAAGGCCAGTGACCACGGTTAGTATAAACTCTGTGAGTCCATACGACTGACTTTCTGGGCTATGTTCCCTGCCTCCCTCCCACCCCCAACCCTTTTCTAAGCTCTTGTGTTTACATGGACGTTTTTGATTGTGTAGGAAGAACTTTCAGTAGACGGAGAGAATTCTGAGTGTTGTACTTTCTCATAAGAAACAAATGGACAACAGTATTTTGGCTAAATTCCATTTCTATTCTCCTGACAGGACTGGTGGACGAAGCCATTGATACCAAATCTCTGTTGGATGCTTCTGAAGAAGCAATTAAAAAAGACCTGGATAAGTGTAAGGTAGCCATGGCTAACATTCAGCCTCAGATGCTGGTCGCTGGAGCAACCAGCATCGCTCGTCGGGCCAACCGAATCCTGCTGGTTGCTAAGAGGGAGGTGGAGAACTCCGAGGATCCCAAGTTCCGTGAGGCCGTGAAAGCTGCTTCTGATGAATTGAGCAAAACAATCTCCCCGATGGTGATGGATGCAAAGGCTGTGGCTGGAAACATCTCTGACCCTGGTAAGCAACAATGGGTGGTGTGGTTCACCTCAGCTGAAAGGTGAACTCAGGAAAGGTAGTGAGAGAATAGGCATCCACAACCACCACATAACAAAATCTGGAAGCAAACCCTATAGACACTTAGTTTGAGAATGCACATTAATCTTTTTCTGCCCAAATCTCTGCACTATTGGCCAACTTGTTGATCTCTGAATCATACTCTCCATGCATTTTTGATGTTGTCTTGCTAAAATAGTTCCTACCCCTGTTCAGTCATTATTTTAGAAATGTCTGAAAAGATACATGATAACCAATTTACCAATCATTTAGCTTATGTAACTGGCATAACTATTCTTATACTTTCCTTAAATTTTGTGCCTTATCTCTGTATAATATTTCTATTTCTGCCAAATCTAGAAGGTTTAAGTTAACCTCTGGATTTCCTCATTCCTGCACTGAAGACTGCATCATCTTTTCACTCCTTTGGTTGGAATCATCTGAATTCCCTCCTGTTTGAACACCCAGTGTTTATACTCTTCTCTGTGAGTAGAATCCAGTGAGAGGAGTAGGAAGAAGGGGCTGCCTTACTCATCCCTGGCCCAGGCAGAATCTTTTCAATATTCTCAATCCACCAATACTAAGGACATGCTTGATTTCCCAATTGGAGTTTCTAATATTTTGAGTAGATTTTTTTTTTTAAAGTAGATTCCTGACTTCAGGTGGCATAGTAGCAGTTCAGTGGAAGAGTTAACATGCTGAATGCCAAGAAGAGCACAGGTGTATGGAGAAACGTGAGAAGTACTCTAGGGAATATATGTCTAGTGTGAATCTGACATCTCGCATAATCTGCACTGGGTAGACCTGTTTTCGTGACTGCCTCATCGTAAAAGAAGTGATGGGTTCCACCCGAGCCCAGTATTTAAAAAATTTATTCACATCCAGGAATCTCTGAATTCTTGTTAGTTGTACAGCCAAAAGGCACCCCAAACACTACAGGAACAGCTGATTTGTGACACTTCCTATTCTTTGCAGTTCTCAGGGCATCTGACTTGCCCTGCCTTCTTTCCCCTTCACTCACTGCCTGTGATGCTTTCTGGTAGCTTCACATCCATCTCTTGTTAATGGAAACCAGTTGTTCTGCTGTATAGACAGTGCTTCAGGGTACTGACCTGCTCAGCTGAAAGTGAGAGTGTCTTGTGTTTAGGCCTGCAAAAGAGCTTCCTGGACTCAGGATATCGGATCCTGGGAGCTGTGGCCAAGGTCAGAGAAGCTTTCCAACCTCAAGAGCCTGATTTCCCACCTCCTCCACCAGACCTAGAACAGCTCCGTGTAAGTAAATTCAGAGAGGGAGAATTGAGCAAGGTGTTGAGTGACTACCAAGAGATGAGAGGTAGACTGTGTTTTAGTGCCTCAAGGACCACCTGGCTTATTTTAGCTTTTACTTTACAAGATCTGTCAAAAGCAGATCTGTATTTTCATTCCTAAATCTAGTAGAATCATGACCTAGCACTCATGTGTGGGCTGGTGAGTAAATGTGTGTAGACCTGCTGTGATACGGGTTGTCTAGAGCAGAGGAACTGGCTTTGAAAAGTGTTGATGTGACGAGTGATGAGGTAGTGAGTTGTGCCAAAATAGTTTGCACAGCTTGTGGTGAGCAAATTTTGTTTTCCCAATTGTTAATGGTAAAACTGAGGTGGTTAGGATCTTGTATAGGTTCTTTCCTTTACTTCTTCTTCTTTTCTTTTAGAAACAAAAATAATACGTTTTTTTTTTTAATTTTATTTTTACCCAACTGTAATTTCAAATCTTTTAATATTTCTTGCCCACCCAAGTACTATGACTGTATTTTTCCATGGTTTAGGAGGAAGTTAGCTGGACAGTATCTTATAGATATAAATCCTAGTATTTAGATAATTACTCCAACAGAACTGGAAGTACTTTAGTGTAGGGAGTGGCTTGTCAAGGCAGTAATTTCATTTACTCCCTTTGATATATTTTTTCATGTAATAGTCAGTAAAAGATGTTGAGTTGGTCAAGGACAAAATAGGGTCATTGTGTACACAGCTAAGAAATAGTGCTTCCCCAGCCTCCAGCATTTCTTTGATTATTTCTTCCTGATTCGAACCTTGGATGGTTAGAGCCAGGGGATAGAGAGATTCCTGGAGAATGGCTTCTTATGTCATCAGTAGGGTCATGACATTTAGAATCAGGATTTTAGAGGTCATTTGGCAGATGAGGAACCTGAGGCCCAGGTGAGAAGTCATTTGCCTTGGTCAGGTACTGCAGTGTGTGCCTCCCTGGAATATGACCATCACAGTAGTGGCTAGCTTTTTGTGAAGAAAAAAAGACATGCTTCTGTTGAGATTGCAGCAGGTGGTCCTTGTGTCTCAGTGTGGGTGAGCTTATGTAGAGTTGATGTGGGTGGCTTTTTTAGATGGTTTTAGAGGAAAGAATTCTGGGTGTGTGTGGGAGGGGATAGAGAGTAGCTCCTAGGGCTTTATTTAAAACCTACTTACTCCCTTTCTTAGCTAACAGATGAACTTGCTCCTCCCAAACCACCTCTGCCTGAGGGTGAGGTCCCTCCACCCAGGCCTCCACCACCAGAGGAGAAGGACGAAGAGTTCCCTGAGCAGAAAGCTGGGGAGGTGATTAATCAGCCAATGATGATGGCTGCCAGGCAGCTCCATGATGAAGCTCGCAAATGGTCTAGCAAGGTAAGTATTGAGGCTTTTCTTGTTGAGAAAGGATGTCTTCTTAGAAAGGATGAAGAACTAAGCACACATTCCAGAGAAAAGAACTTATATGGAGTCAACCTCTCGCTCTGCTTTGGTTCCTGTGTTGCCAGTAGCACGTTCCTCTTCTTACCTGTGATTTAGTGAGATGTTTCTGGTGCTTGATGGTTTGTTTCTCCTTTTTGTATGTAGCAACAGTGAAAGCTGGGATGCCTTGGTTACAGAAGAGGATTCTTTTCCTCTGTCCACTAGTGTCAGTTGTCCTGACCCTGGACATTTGGGGTCTCTTAGAAATTGTTAACCCTTCTTGATTGTTGAATGTTATTAGATGCTCAGTTGCTAACTGTCAGAATACCAAATATGAAACTGTCTTTTGTGGGATATGCTTATAGCCAGATGAAATATTTGCATTAAGAAGCAGGTAGACTGATGTCTTAGAAGCCATGCTCGTCCTTTTTCAGAATCATCCTACTTTTTAATTTGATGCTCTAGGCTAACTCCAAATGCAGAAAATTTGAAAGTGCAAATATTAATGTAGTGGTGAAAATTTGGATGCTGTAACAGTTAATTCCCCATGAATAACTTTTGCCTGTCTTTCCCTAAGTAGTGAAAAATGAGTGGTAACTTTTCTATATAATAGCAATATATTATTGGTAAGCTTGTAGTAGAATGTAGTTCCAGTTTATTTCTAAACTGTTTCTATTACAACCCTAGATCTTCATTCCCAGAATCTAGTTCCCTTTATTACTGTATTATTATTATTTTTTTACATCCTCAACACCTCTAAGCTCTCGTATTGAATGTAGTTCCCAAGGGACTGCCTACACCTACAGTTGATCTTGGTTTTTTTTTTAGGCTGGGAAAATGACCTTGGTTTTCAACCCTGGGTTTTTCTAAACTATTAGCTGTGAGCCCAGATTCTAAGAAGGAATGGAGACCATGCTGGTGTCGTACCTGACCTGTGGCATTATTTATAATGGTTTCTCTCCAACTGGGACATGCACTCCCTGCTACTACCATGTGGCAGAGTCCCACTATCCACTGTTACTCTTGATAGTGAGGGTTGGAAATTTAAAGAAAATTTAAATTTCATTACAAGTAACTCACACATAATGTGCAGAACACAAAATATATGTGAATGATAAAGATAAAACTTATAAGGGGCAGATAGCATTAGCCTGTATATTTGCCCCACTCTGCCCATTACTGCCATAGGTCCTTAGATCAGCGGGTCTCCTGAGGTCTGGAGAATCGGGTTTGCTGACTTAGAATTACAAAAATGAAGTCGGGAACTACTTTCACTGTGTATGTGTTGGGGGCAGGAATATGTGTTTACATGTTTTTGTCACTCCAAACCATTGCAGCAGTCAGCTAGCCTCTCCTTTAAGGAATGGGAATGAGTTTTGAGTGAGACAGAGTTTAAAATTTTGATGGTCCCTGACCCCTTGTTGGTCCTGAATCCTCCAACTTGGTTGTCATATTTTGGAGACAGGCTTTGTGTCAAGGATTTTTTTAAAAGACAGAGTCTTTTTATGTAGCCCAGGTTAGACTGGAACTTGACACATAATCCAGGTTAGCCTCGAACTAATGATCATCCTGCCTCAGCCTCTTATGTACTGGGATTACAAGTGTGTACCACACAGCCAGTAGGATAAGACTTTTAGGAGTGATAGTAACCTCAAATACAATTCCATAAAAACTCCTACTTCCTCATGGTTACAGATGCTTGATGTAAAGAATCTATGTTCACCATTCTTCATATAAATGGCTTCATTAAAGTAATTCCTTTTTTTCTTTCTACTCCAGCCTATTTTCAGCATCTGACCTTTTTAATAATTCTCACCTCTGGTACATAATTCATCTTCTCTCCCTCATAGTTCCTATTCTTTCATGTGCACCCATTTCAGGCTCCTATGAGAGTTCCTTTGAGTTCCTCATTCAGTAGCAAAGTCTATGTGATACCTGATCTGTAAACTAGTAAGTTGAGTTTAGGGTAAGTGTGAACCCATTTTGCAACAGTAGAGATACTTAGGTTGTATTCAGAGAGACACTTTTGGAGTTGATACTATCAATACATGCAATAAGACATTGTAGAAGCTTTACCTCTGAAGAGCTTGAGGGGAGAGAAAACTGGTCTGAGATGTAGGTTTTCACTGTAATGGAAGCTGGACAAGGTGTCTTCTTTTTTTTCCTTGTGGTACTGGGGTTTGAGCTCAGGGCCTCACGCTTCCTAGGCAGGAGCGCTACCACTTGAGCCACTCTACCAGCCCAGTTTTGTGTTGGGTATTTTTAAGATAGGGTCTCACAAACAGTTTGCCTGGGCTGGCTTCGAAATTGTGATCTTGTTGATCTATGCCTCCTGAATAGCTAGGATTACATAGCTGTGAGCCACCACTGCCTGGCACAAAGTGTCTTCTTGAGGCTTCCTATACCTGGGTGACTGTGGGGCACTTAATGAATCCTCTTCACTCACAAACCTCGTTCCTGGTTTGGCATTTGTCACCTTTGACATATCATTTTAAATTCTGGAACTTTTGAGTCCTAAAGGAAATAATCTGTCTGCACCTGCAGAGCTGACTTGCTGCTTCCTGTGTCCCAGCATGATCTAGAACTGTGACCTTATGATCCAGGAGGGTATTTACTTTTTCTGTTTAAAGCAACTTACAGCTGCTTTAATTTTTTTTTTCTCTCTCTGGATTCCTTTTAAAGGTAATTAGCTACAACTTAGTTGTTTGGTTCTTCAAAAAATGTTCTGACCCAAGAATTACTTTTGTTAAGTTTAACTTTAGCATTAAGTATATATCATTTAACTTTCTTTGTATAAATATCTCTCTGGAAACCCTTTTCCATTGGAGCAAGTCCCTTTTCTTCATTCACCACAGGGTTCATTGAGCTGAGTTTCCCTTTCTGTGGATGGTGGTTCATCTGGGCTCCTGGAGAGTATACCATTTTCTTTCCCATCCTAGGCAAGCTTTGGTTACTAAACCAGCTGAAGCTCAGTTTCCCAAGTCCTACTGCTCTTACTAACACTATCCCTGTTTCTCATCCTTCCCGCCATCGACAAAGCCGGGTTTCCCAGCCGCTGAGGTGGGTATAGGAATTGTAGCTGAGGCTGATGCGGCTGATGCTGTTGGGTTCTCTATCCCCTCTGACATGGAAGACGATTACGAACCTGAGCTGCTGTTAATGCCTTCTAATCAGCCGGTCAACCAGCCCATTCTGGCCGCGGCTCAGTCCTTGCATCGGGAAGCTACCAAGTGGTCTAGTAAGGTACTGATTGGCATCCTCAGTTGGGGGCTGCTCCAAATGCATCTGGCCATGTGCAGCCTTGACACCTTGCATCACTCATGATCTGTGCGGGTCCTGTGAGTCTGAGCAGGGCGGGTATCTGTCTGTCTGCACCTTGTTGTTAGGAGTGGCTTCACAAATATGATAGGTCTGCTAATGGCAGATTAGTTGGACTGCATTTCTGTTTGGGGGATAAAGAGAAATGGGGCCACTTTTTGAAGATTCCTTTTCTTACCAACTTTGTGGCCATTGTTGAAACTTTAAACTCCTTGGGAAGCTCTGGATGCATCTCTCAATGACTTCTAGGTCAGAAGCCATCGAAGACCATTAAGAGGTCTCCTGGCCTGACCACTGAGCTTTGCCTGACCCCCACTGATCTCTCACTGGTGGCTCGGGCAGAGCTGATCAGGGCGAGCAACTTTATATGGCAGGGTCTCTGGGGAGGACTGCTTGCTGCCTTGCACTCGGCTGTGTGGCAGTTGCTGGTCTTGATGGGAGCCCACAGGGGAAGGGGCTTCACTGACTGCTTATTCAGGTATCTTAGTGGGAGGGGGTGAAAGTAGAAAACAGAGGGCTCACAGCTATGGGATAGGCAGCAACAGAGCTTTGGCCTTGGGGACCAGGTCGACACTACTTTGGGGAGCAGAGGTATATGTGGGAGTGATCACATTTTTATCTTTGAAGGTGGCATGTTGCAAGAAAGGGTTTGATGTGTGATGGGTAATTACTAACCCTGGCACTATGCTGTCTTCTAACCAAAGTCATGAAATCCTAAACGATTCGAGGGTCTCATCTACCACAACCCACCCACATTTTTTCTTCCCAACCCTGTGTTCTCTCTAGCCTCAGTTTATTGCCTCAGATATTACACACCTTCCAGCATAAACAATTAGACAGTTTATGGTGCCAGTTCACAGAGAGGGATGTTCTAGCAGCCCTCTGGAAAGGTGGCATGGTTTGTGTATGCTTCACTGTACTATATAGAAATTGAAAAGCATGAGGGGAAAAATGAGTGGGGCCTGGCTGTTTAAGTAGCTTTAAACATTGCAGTTTCTGTAATTTTAGATTGTTATGAGCAAGAAATACGTTGCTTGTATGTTTCTTTATCATGACCCATGAGAGTTTTAGTGAATCAAAGGACTAGGATAAACTACCATTAGTGAGAGTGGGAGTTCCATTTACAGCTCGACTCATGGTTTTTATTTTTTTGATTCCTCCTTTGGCATCCTATTAGCTGAAAGTCAGCTAATAGGCCTCACTTACGTGAGGGGATTCTTGACCTTTTTACATGTGAAAAATTTAAAAGACATGTTCTTTCTGGTTGACAGGACAAACAAGAAGCAGTAGAGGGAAGGCTGAGAAGCAGTCTAGATCAGAAAATAGCCTTTTTCCTTTAGACTGAAAATAATTACTTGGGGTTTTAAATTTTAGTAAAGTAGTGAGAGTCCTTGGCTGCTATTTGCAACAAGGGTAAGGATGGAGAGGGTGATTTTAGCATCTGGAAAAGGCTCCTCTGTATTTTTTCCTCTCGGGCTAGCTTAACTGCTCTCTCCCCTATTATAGAAAGGAAAATGCCTGTTTAGCTAACTCTTTGGCTCGGTCCCCATGTTATTGACATGATTAACCTGGAGATGCTGAAGTGCTTGTTCAGTGCTGTGCCTGGAGCATACATGTTGCCCTTTCAGATTAATATCCTGGTTTTCCTTTTTTTCAGTTAGGAGATTCTCTCTCAATGAGTGCTGCAGTGAGTGCTATGCCTCACTCTTCTCTGTTTCTCCAGTGCTATCCACATCACTCAAGAACAGTTTTTTTTTCCTCTTCTCACCTTTCTAGAGGGCTGCTAGAACAGCAGGCTCCCTCCTGTTTTTGCTGTTTTTCTCCTTCCTTCCTTAATTTGGCTAGAGTGTGGGCAGAGCTCACACTTTTATGTGCTTCTCTCTAGGGCAATGACATCATTGCAGCAGCCAAGCGAATGGCTCTACTGATGGCTGAGATGTCCCGGTTGGTAAGAGGGGGGCAGTGGTACCAAGCGGGCACTCATTCAGTGTGCCAAGGACATCGCCAAAGCCTCAGACGAGGTGACTCGGTTGGCCAAGGAGGTTGCCAAGCAGTGCACAGATAAGCGGATTAGAACCAACCTCTTACAGGTACTTGGGAAAAGAGGTGTGCATGTGAGAAAGTTTGAGCAGGAGGGATGGGAGAAGAAAAGCAGCAGAGAGGAAAAATGAGTGGGGAGGAAAGAAGTACTGAAGAGGGGAAAGAAACAGCAAGGGGAAATACATGTATATTTGGAAAAGACAAACTCAAGAAAATTCATTTCCTAATCAAATGAAAGAATCTGGATGGTTACATTTCTGGACAAATGAACGGGATTGACCATAGTTACAGGGATAAAACAAGAATTTATGTATTTTATTTTATTGCGATACTGGGGCTTGAACTCAGGGCCTATACTTTTAGCCACTCCACCAGCCCTTTTTTTGTGATGTGTGGTTGTTTTTTGTGTGTTTTTGAGATAGGGTCTTATGAACTATTTGCCCAGGCTGGTTTTGAACCTTTACCCTCCTGATTCTCTGTCTCCTCAGTAGCTAGGATTACAGGCATGAGCCACCGGTGCCTGTAATCCAACAAACAAATATATTACTGCTAATTAATTCTGTGCCTTCTGCATGCTAGCCACTGACAATAGAGGTGGATGTCTTACCCTCAAGGAGCTTGTGGGCAAGACAAAGACACATATTAAATTAAACTTTTTTTTTAGGTATGTGAGCGAATTCCAACTATAAGCACCCAGCTCAAAATCTTGTCCACAGTGAAGGCCACCATGCTGGGCCGGACCAGCATCAGTGATGAGGAGTCTGAGCAGGTACGGGTCAGCTGCTTTTGGTTCCTTGCCCGCAGTTTCTCTGCTTTTCAAATGAACTCAGCATTAGGGAAATTTTTAGTGTGTGGGATGGACTCTTAAGACTCACTCTTTCAGGACAGCCTTTGTTGGAGAGAGCATCAGAAATTTGAGATTGGGAATGAGGCTCTTGTAAACTTGTCATTTTACAGATGGGAAACTGAGGCATAGGGAGGTTAAGTGTTACCTCAGACACCGATATGAATCAGCGTCAGTTAGGAATCTACTCAGTTCTTTTCTCTCCTGGAGTATCCTCGGCTCTTGTTAGGTCCCAATGTCTGTTTACTCCCCTCCACCATGTCTTTTTGGCTGGAAAATGTTTGCTTTCTAGCTTGCTGAGTGATTTTTCAGCCTCAAGGGATGAATAGCACAGAGTGTTCAAGGGAATGAGGTGGTTGGGCCTGTGCTTAGATTGAAACAGCAGCTCAAGGAGGTGCTTTCTTTGTATTCTCTAGTTGAATAGATCTTTTTATTTTTGGTGGTACTGGGGTTTGAACTCAAGGCTTCATACTTGCTAGGCAGGTACTTTATCACTTGAGCAACACCCCCAGCTCCTTGTATTCTCTTTAGTTGTATCTGGCAGATAGGAGAACCCTTCCTCATCCTTGTTGCTAAGTGATGCTTCTTGCATGTACCTTAGTAACCACTCCTTAGAATTTGTCCTTTTTCTCCCCCTCCTGGAATTGTGCCCTGAACTTTCAAAACACTTTCCTTTCCTTTCTCTTTCTCGTAGGCCCTGTTCTGAGCCACATTTCCCAGAGAGGGGGTCATAGATATTATGGACAATCCCTGTCCTTGGGGGACTCATGAAGAACTTTGGAGACTTTTTCTGATCTCTAGAATAGGAGACAGAGGCTAGGGACACTGTAGAGCAAATGAGGAGGCTATTCTTGGTGACATCATTGCTGCTTCCACTACATATTCTAATATAACAGCTCTTACCAACTCTCTCTTCTCCCAAACAGTGGGAACTGCATCTTTACCCCAAATTTTGATATAGTCTAAGCAAA